GGAGAGAAGACCATCTCTGTGGTCCTACAGGTGATGCTGCCCTTCCCCTCCTCAGCCTCCCGGGCTGTGAAGCCCCCGGCCTCATTCCCAAGCCAGCTGGGCAGAGGGAGAGCCCATTTGCCTTCCCTGGTAGAGAGAGTGCCTGCTCATCTCACCTGCCTGGAAAATGGGCAGGGTGAAATCCCAGTGCCCCCTTGGCAGAGGAGAGAAGAGTCTTAAGCCCAGAGATGACCGGGAGTCAGTCGGGAGTAGGTTGATTCTTGCTCTGGGCCTCAGCTTCCTCAGCTGGGACACTGGCAGTCATTGCTGTTTCTGGTGGCTGCAGGGCCAGAAGGTGGCCATGGAGGTTTTCTACATAAAACAGTTTCGTTGTAGTAAAGAGGGCAAAGTTGGAGGAGCTGGTGGCTCAGGCCTGTGATTCCAGTTGCTTGGAAAGTTGAGACAGGAGAGTCCTAAGTTCAACGATGGCCTTGACAACTTTTTTTCTTTTTCTTTGAATTTTCCAGAGTTTCGAGACAGGGTTTCTCTGTGTAGCTTTGGAGCCTATCCTGGCACTCGCTCTGCAGACCAGGCTGGTCTCGAACTCACAGAGATCTGCCTGCCTCTGCCTCCCAAGTGCTGGGATCAAAGGTGTGAGCCACCAATGCCCTTTTTTTTTTTTTTTCTTGTTAAAGATTATGTATAGTGTTCTGCCTGCATGTGTGCATACACACCAGAAGAGGAAGAAGAGGGCACCAGATCTCATTATAGCATTATAGATGGTTGTGAGCCACTATGTGGTTGCTGGGAATTGAACTCAGGACCTCTGGAGGAGCAGTCAGTGCTCTTAACTGCTGATCGCCTGGCCTGGACAACTTTTAATTTGCCTCAGAAATAAAAGTAATTAGCATTACAGGAACTACTAAAAAAAGGGTTAGGAATACAGCTCAGCTGTACAGTGCTTGCCTGGAACACTTGAGACCCTTGGCTCCATCCTAGTGCCACCAAATTAATTAGTGAATGAAACAGGTGTAAGGAGAGGACTGAAAGTAGCCAGCAGACTGGCTTTTTTTGTGTGTGTGTGTGTGGTTGCTTGGTGTTTTGTTTTGTTTTATTTTTGAGATAGGATCTCTCTACAGAGTCCAGGCTGTCCTGGAACTCACTCTGTAGACCAGGCTGGACTTGAACTCAGGTCTGCCTCCCTCCACCTCTTGAGTGCTGGGATTAAAGGTGTGCGCCACCACCGCCCACCTCATTCTCTTAAATTATAGCTGATGTCTTGGACTCCTGATTCTCCTCTGTCATATGGGATGGAGGAATTCCAGGTAGATACTATCAAGTCTGGCATCTGTCTGTTTGCCTTTCTTTCATTTAACTTAAAATCCACGAAAACATACACACTACATACACAGACAGTACTGAGGTTTGCACTGAGGGCCTTTTGCAGGCCGAAGGGCAGGCAAGAGGTCTACTAACTGAGCCATGTCCGCAGCCTGGCTGACATATTTCTGACTGCTTTGTTTGTTTTGTTTTTAATTTATGCTTTTTGACTGCTTAAAGATTTTTTTTTTCATTTTAGTTTCTTTTGTGTACATGCCTGTGGGCACACAAGTCCAGTGGCATCACGCATGTGGAGGTCATAAGACAACTTGTGGGAGTCGCTTTTCTCCTTCTACTGTGTGGGTCCTGGTTCCCTGGATCTAACTCGGGTCATCAGTCTCTTCCTCCAGCCTGAAACTTACGATGGTCTTGTTCCAGTCCCCCAAGCGTACCCTCACTTCTGGCCTCTGCGTGTGTTTTGTAATGTTCTAACTCAAGCCAAACCACAGCTCTGCAGCTCTAAAGACCTTTTATTTTTCTTGGATATGAGAGTAGAGCATGTGTGACTTTTTTTTTAAGATGGGCTCACTTCGTGGCACAGGCTTTACTCCAAAGTCCAATACTTGCCTCCCTGATGCTTCTCATGTCCTGGAATCAAGACATGCTAATGCTTGGCCTGAAAGTCTGTTTCTAACACTGGGCAGTGGTGACTCACACCTTTAATCCCAGCACTCGGGAGGCAGAGGCAGGTGGATCTCTGTGAGTTCGAGGCCAGCCTGGTCTACAGAGCGAGTGCCAGGACAGCCTCCAAAGCTACACAGAGAAACCCTGTCTCAAATAACAACAAAAAAAAAGTTTTTGAAAGGAACAAGAAATTTGAGGACGGCGCCAGAGAGATGGCGTGAGAGTGCAAACTGCTCTCCCAGAGGACTGAGTTCAGTTCTCAGCACCCAGTGATACTCAACAGCCTGTAAGTCCAGCTCCAGAGGATCGGATACCGCTGGCCTCTGGAGGCACAACCTCCTTCCACACACTTATTTAAAATGATAACAATAATTTTTTTCTGTTTTCGGTTTTATTTTGTTTTTAAGACAGAATTTCTCTGTGTAGCCTGGCTGTCTTGGAACTCACTCTATAGATCAGGCCGACCTCCAATTCACAGAGATCCGCCTGACTCTACCTCCCGAGTGCTGGGATCAAAGGCCTGCAATCACCACAACGCCCGGCAGAATTAGATGCTTTGAAGCAGCTGCCCATTGCCCCTGTGTCTTTCCCCGTGTTTTATCCAAGGGTCCTGCTGTAAAGGTCTTTGCTACCACTCATG